GGGAAAACTGCTTCTTGGATATGTCTCTGGAGAATGAGATGTGATGTAGTTCTTCATGTTCTCCAATAATTATTCCATTTTTTTAATGAGGACAAAAGTTGTAGGAGGACTCTGTAATTTCTCACCCAGTAAAGTAGCCAATATTTGTCCAACATGCTCAAGTCACGGTGCCCACTCACCAGCACACTCAGAAAGGACAATTCTTGCTTTCAAATCAACCGCAATTGACTGACACAGGTCTACTGAGAGGCAGTTATGTGTATTAAAACATTCACTCCCATAACTCCACCAACCTAAGAGGAATTAATGAGTGAAAGAGTGTGAGGTTTGATAATCTGATCTTAGTGAATAGGGGTAGTGACAGAATAGAAGTAGGAGGAACAACTGTGGTGAATAATACAGAAAGTAAAGAATTTAATGGAAGAAATATGCAGAAGTAAATGGAAAGGGAACAAGAGAACAGGGTTATGAAGAATGCTAACAGTCAAGTCAGTAAGAGAAAATAATGATTGTTCTAGTAAAATCATGAGAGCAGAGACAATACAACCAATAACTATGACAATAAAGATATAATATAGAGGAAAAGTCCCTATGTGAATCTACACCTGCCATTGGGGCTGATGCTCTGTTTACTGTGAGCCAAGAATCTCCTGCTGTGTAAGAGAAACCTGCCTGTCCCTTTGTCCCAGCTCAGGGCACATGTGACAGCACCACTGGTGCCCAGTTTCTAAGTGTATCTTGCAATTGCAGTCACTGGCCCATCCATGAGGGTCAAAACAGATTTGAGGCCCATGCTCTTATGCTGTGCAATCTTTGAGGACTGACTCTCACCTCAATACTCAGATAGTTTCAGCCTTGGCTTCCATCCCAGAAGCATGGAAGGGGAAGACAGACTGAAGGCATTCTTCTTGTCTCAGGTTCCTCTGAAAATCCAGTCAGTGCATAGATCATCTTGATTCATTGCGTATCTGTCAAATTTTGGAACCTAGTCATTGCAATTGCAGTGTGGTGGTAGTGACCATCATATCAGCTTCTTTCCAGGTTTCAGTACTTCTGCCATCTGTTTATAAAACCAAAAATGGAAGGAAGGAAGGAAGGAAGGAAGGAAGGAAGGAAGGAAGGAAGGAAGGAAGGAAAAATAAATACAAAGGAGAGAGAGTGAGTGAGTGAGTGAGTGTGTGTGTGTGTCTGTGTGTGTGAGATCTGAAAGGGCCAAAATAGGATAAGCCAAAAAGTGAACTTTTTTCTTTAAAAAAATCAATAACGTCTTAATGCTTTCTAAAAAATGTAAAACTCGGTAACAACTTTATGACAAAATGTGCATTTAAGAAAAGCCTGTGTGGAACCAGCACGATTACAGCTGGGGATGTAGCTCAGCGGTCGAGCGTTTGCCTAGCATGCTAGCAAGGAGGAAGCTCTGGGTCTGATCCCTCCCTCGTACTGCAAATCAGTAGTAAATACATAAATAAATTTATTTTTATAAATTAATAAGTTTATATAAATTTTTAAATAAATAATGTTAGTAAAAATAACTAATGAAAACTCAATACATGAATCCAGCAGAGTTAGAATCACCCTCATCGCCTTCTTATGTCCGTCCCCCGTCCCCCGTCCCCCGTCCCCGTCCCCGTCCCCGTCCCCGTGTCCCTCCACCCCCGTCTCTTTCATCACAAAGAAAAACATTCCAGTGAATCATACTACACAAATATCAGGTTCCTAGAGAAAAAGCTGTAAGTGTTTTTTGGAGTAGGAAAAATAGCAGTAAAAGTTGGGATCTTAAATTGTAAAAACAACCGGCGTCAAATTTGTAACAGCAGAACTCATTCTGTGCAGCGAACATAAGGAAATGTTACTGCGATCATTTCATTTTCTTCGTTTTAAATGAAGAAGTGCTGCCATCTTCTCCCTTCCTTATCCATCCACAGGTTTTCTTAGAGTATTTAAGCACAGTGGGATCTTATCAGAACCAAACAACCACCGGTACTATTTAAAAGCTCTCCACAGCCTCCTAGGCAGGACAGGTTCAAGAGAGAGCAGAACGCCTGTGTTCCATTTCATGCTGATGAAAAGAAGCAGGGATGCTGTGTCACACGGCCGGATCGATGCTCTGAATCTGGGGGTAGAGTGGGGACAAGGTGAGGTCTCGGTCAAGAAACAGCTTTTTACAAATACACAGAAGTCCAGGTCGAATTTGTTAACACAAAGCTGTGTTGCCAGAAAGGCCTCCGTTCGGACGGACGGACGGACGGACGGACGGACGGTGCCCCGTGTCATTTCAGTCTGTGAGTCGTATGGCAAGGGATAGCACTTGAGGAGCTGCTACTTTATCCTCCCAAGTAGGGTACAAGCCGCATGCTTTATAATCTCTCTCACTCTCTCAGTCCGTCCGTCCGACCGTCCCTCCCGCTCCCTCCCTCCCATCGAGGGTGTTTTTATTAGGATGTGCACGTTCAGTATGGGTGAGGGGATTCGTAGTGACAATTCCGAAGCATTTTCTTCA